CTTTGCCCCCCCCCGCGCCCTAAACACGGCCCTCCTCCCGAGGACCCCGGGGGATCGGGCGCGCCGAACAAATTCTTTTCCCGACCCGTAGGGGAGGCAGCAGCGGCGGCGGTGACCCTGGGGGCTCTACCTCCGGCCCGGTCGGCAGCACCGGCGGGAAAGTGTCAGTCGGAGCCATGGGTGGGGGCGTGGGGACCTCGAGTTCCGGGGGTGGCCCCAGCAGCAGCGGCGGAGGAGGCAGCGGCGTCCCCAGTGCGGGCACCAGCTTCCCGCCGCCCGGAGTGAAGCTGGGCCGTGAGTACTAGCGGCGTCCGTGGTGGGTGGAGATCAGGGTCCCTGAAGCCCCTCAGTCATCGATCAGGTTCTTCCATCTGCCCAGATAAGAGTGCGAGGTCACTGCCACCTAAACTGGGATCTGAGCTCTCCCCCTCCAAGAGAAGGGTTGAGGGGGTTACCATCACTTGGAGTTTAGGCTTAGAGTGAGTAACCCTCAAAGAAACTGGGGTCACAGGTTTCTGTTCTTCCAGTACCGAGGTCTTGGGTTCTTGAGGCTTAAAAACAGGGCTCTGACGTTGCCATCCATTAGAGAACAGGATCAGGGGTCATCGTCGCTTACAAATGGGGCTCAAGGGTTATTGTTCCCAAAGAGGGTAAATAGGAGGAGGGGGCTCTGAATTTGCTTCCCTTTAGAAGATGGGAATTTGGAGTGCATATTACTTAGAAGCAAGTAACTGTGTTTCCAAAGAACAGGGCTACAGCTTTCCAAACCTGGTACCCAGGTCGTCTTCCCCTTTAAAGCACAAGGCCTGGTATCATAACCTGTCCATAATATGTAGAACTTTACTCCCAATGGTGAAAATTAATAGTTGCTACCTCTTAGAAATAAGGCCAGATTGGGAGTCAGCATGCTCTTCAGACCTAGTCATAGTTATTGTTTTTCAAAAACATGGCTTGGTGGGTCTCCTTTCACATAAATGGAAGGGGGAGGGGGAGGGTTATAGTTCCCATAGATAGGGATTTGGGTTATACCCTTTTATTATTGTGAGGTGTGTTAGCGGCTCTGGAAAAATAGCTATGTAGGATCACCTCTTCCAAAAGAAGGCGTCAACTGGTCCCTCAAAATGGATTTGACTTATCAGTGACCCCTTTTCTTAGGGGAACCTTCCATCAGTTCCCTGAAGAAAAAGGGATCACTATCCCCAAAGAATGCCACCACAGTTTGCTGCCATTCAGAGCCTGGAACTGGGAATTCGTTTTCCTATGAAGCACTGAGGCTGGGCTAGCCCTCTGATCGTACAGATCAGGTTCACTAGTCTCAATTTAGTGCTGATCTATTAAGGACCACCCACATACAGGAAGGGGTCTGGGACTCTGGATCACACAGAGGAGGTCAGGTCAGTGCCTTCTCTAACCTCAAAGCATTTGGGTAAGGGCAAATTGTCCCCCAAAAGTGAGAGGGGGCACTAGTACTCACGCCAGGAGGAGTCATTTATTTCTGTCACCAAAAACCAGTGGTGAAGTTTCCAGCTCCACCAGGGAGGACATAGAGGTCACCCTCCCCTGAGCTGCGAGGGAGGTTAGTGCTTTCCTAAAGTAGAAGTACCTCAGGGTTACCGCTCTCTTCAGTGGACGAGTTTAGGCCAGGCTTTCCCCAGTCGGGAGGGACCAGAGGGCAGTGAGCTTGGATGCATTCAGTATCTGGAAGTGTCAGTGTCTCTTAAGACCAAGAAGACCCAATGGTTTGCTGCTTAACTAGAAGTGGAAATTAGGGGTCAGCAAGAGTTTTAGATGTCAGTGTCTTCCATTATGGGAGGAGGGACAAGGAAAAAGGGACGAAGAGGCCCCAGAGAGCTTCCTGTGGAGACTGTCCTCCCCTCCACAGCTCCAGGATAGGGAGGGGGCCAGAGGGGAAAGGTCAGTGGATATTGTGTCTCCTTTGTTCCCCAGGTGACAGCGGGAAGGTGACCACAGTGGTAGCCACTCTAGGCCAAGGCCCGGAGCGCTCCCAGGAGGTGGCTTACACAGACATCAAAGTGATTGGCAATGGCTCATTTGGGGTTGTGTACCAGGCACGGCTGGCAGATACCAGGGAACTGGTAGCCATCAAGAAGGTTCTCCAGGACAAGAGGTTCAAGGTACTTGGTGGGAATGGGGACAAGGAGGCTTAACTGGGCATGACTGGTGAGAGCTCCAGCAAGAGCATTGGCCTTGGGTCCCACAGGGGATGTGAGCATGGGCCAGAGGAGAAGGGGGAAAGCAGGGAGTGAGTGGTGTGGAAGATGGGAATATAGTTTCCAGGAAAGCCCAGAGCTGACAGTTTATTGGGCTTTTGCTCTTTGTAAATGCTTTTGGCAGGCAAGTTCTTGTTTAATAAAGATTGTGTGGAGGTGTAAGTATTGTTATTCCCATTTTAAGTAAGCAGAAACTGGAAACAGACTCAGATAAGAGAATTGCCAGAGGTCAAGACTAGATTCTGATTCTTAAGCTCTCCATCTTAACTTAATTACTAAGTTAAGCTTCTGCTCAGAGCAGAAAGGAAGCAAAGGTCTTGTCTCACTCTGCCCTAGGTACTTGGCGAGTGCAGGGTAGAATTCAGCCTGCCCAGTGCTCACCGAACCACACGCCTTGGTGTGGGTCTCTGCCTTCCTGAAGAAGGGGTGTCCATTCATCTAGTGCTGCCCTGTGAGCTAGTGGATACCCAGGGAATGAGAAGGAGCTGGAGGAGTGGAAGTTGAGGGATAATTGGTTTGGAAGGATGGCATTTTGGAGGCTAGGCTAATCTGGAAATAGCCTACACTGGGAGGGAAACAGGTCAGGCCCTGGGTCCTAGCAGTGAGTAGTCTCAGGGGCAGGAGGAGCTCCAGGGTATTGGTCAGAATTTGATTAGTGTTGCCTCCCAGAAGTGAGAAGGATCTGAGGATGGGGAGTTTTGAGGCCCCAGAGGGAAACAGAGAATAGGGAAGAATGCTGAGACCAGGCCTTCTGGGAAGAGGCTGAGGCTGGGTCCTTTTTGGGAAGATGAGAATTGGGAGCCTGGAGTCTGGGACACAGGATCCAAGCCAGGGCTCAAGGACCAAGATACAGCCAGGGAAACAATAGGGAGGAGTGGGGACTAGGGTGGACTGGATGGCCACTACTTGTCTGTTGTTGCTTGTGCCATGCAGGGAGGTGGACCTCATGGGGCCATATCATCTGATTTTTCAAGAGAAGCTGCAAAACTGGATTTTGATTTTAAATCAAACATTTAAAAAAGCAATAAGTTGAACATTTAAAAAAAGTGGGCTGAAGAAAGCACATCTGTGATCTGGGTTTAGCCCAGAGACCTCCAGCTTGTGTGAGGGGGATGGATTGCAGATAAGGAGTTGGATAAGGAGTTAGGGGCTGCCCCAGGGGGACCTGGGACATAGGGAGTAGTAACCGCCTAGCTCTGTTGGTGGGAATGGGGGAGTAGGGCTGTGGTGAAAGGTGCTAGGGAGGGGAGGAAAGACAGCTGGTGGTTTTCTGAGGCTCTCTCCCTTTGCCTCTAAGAACCGAGAGCTGCAGATTATGCGGAAGCTGGACCACTGCAATATCGTGAGGCTGAGATACTTTTTCTACTCCAGTGGGGAGAAGGTGAGACCTCAGGGGTAGGGGGAGTCCTTCACTTTCACTCCACCTATTTTCCTGCCTGCCTTTCTCATGACTGCTAGTCCTTCCCCATTTCCCCTAAACCTTCCATCCCCCCTTCCTTGCAAGCTCTTTCTTCACAATGCCTCACACCTCTCCTTTGCTCTCCGCAGAAAGACGAGCTTTACCTAAATCTGGTGCTGGAGTACGTGCCCGAGACAGTGTACCGGGTGGCCCGTCATTTCACCAAGGCCAAGTTGACCATCCCTATCATCTATGTCAAGGTGGGCAGGCAGGCAGGCTTCTGGGGCCCAGGCCCAGGAAGCTAGTGGCTCCGAATCCTCCTACCTTCTGTGGGTTCCCTCGTTCTCCAAGTTTATGTTGGTCCTTGGAGGTCTCGTGTTCCCTGCCCTTGTTTCCATACCCCCAGAGATGGAGCTCGCTAAATACAGGGTAGCCCATCCTGAGGCCTGACTGAATCAGGGAGGCAGGCTGACTGGGGCTGGGGAGGCTGCAAGGTACCTGCTTGGGTCTATACTGGGAGCCCAGTGACAACAGTGGTATTAGAGGCAGTAGCTCAGAATCAGGTGATGGTGACAGAAAATACAGCGGTCGGACGCACTGAAGTCTGGGAGAGGAGTGGAAAGGACGCAGGGTTGGAGGAAGGTTAGTGTCCACAGAGCCAAGAGAGCAGGCACCTTCATCCATTGTCTCTAGTTCATTCCCCAATGCCTGGTGCTGAGTCCTGAGAGTTCCTATCCCTTTGTAGGAGTTTGAATGAATGAATGAGTGAGCCTAGTGATGATGTGGAGAACAAAGGCTGGGGCAATGCTGCATTGGGAGGAGGTGGCTGGGTCCAAGTTTACTTGAGGTCGCTCGAGGGCCCAGTTGCTCCTGGTGAGCCCTTGCAAGCTCTTTCTTAGGGGCTCTGCTAGTGGTTGGTGCTATGGGACCTCACTCCCGGGGCAGGGAGTTCTCCAGTGCGGTGACTCTGTCCTGGGCTGCCTGTGTGTCAGGCCCTGCAATGAGCAATTTCAGAGGCCCAGTTGACTAAGACACAGGCCTTGCCTTTGAAGCCTCTCAGTTTAGCAGGGTAGACACGTGAGAACTATAAAACCACTAGCAACTGCCTTCCTAGAAGGGGCACAGGGAATTCTGGAAACACAGAAGGCCCCCAGCCTCGCCTGCTTGGGGCGAGAAGGATCAAAGAAGGCTTGTGGGAGGAGACCAGGCGCAGGGTGAGAAAGGGCAGCTCGAACAGAGGAGAAGGCCCAGGAAGCAGGCCTAAGCAGTTATTACTTGCCAGGCCCTGTGAGGCAGTGATGAAAACACAAAAGTCACTGCTCTCTTGGCACTTAGGTGCTAGTCAGTCAATGGGAGAATGGCAAGAACACCCAACTGGAGAGGGGCTGCTTGTGGGTGGTTTGACTGGTGCCGTGGTCGGCAAAGGGTGGCTCGCGAGCCACATGCGGCTCTTTGGCCCCTTGAGCGTGGCTCTTCCACAAAATACCACGTGCGGGCGCGCACGTACAGTGCGATTGAAACTTCGTGGCCCATGCACAGAAGTCGGTTTTCGGCCTGGGCGAGTCTGTTTTGAAGAAGTACTGTTGATATTTGGCTCTGTTGACTAATGAGTTTGCCGCCACTGGACTGGTGGATAAAAAGCTGAGCCCTTCCTCCAGCCAGTGGATTTGGAGAAGCTGAGTGCCTGGCTCCCAGCCTCTAAAACAAGGTCTTCCTGATGTCTCTATCTTATTCATCAGGCTTCTGCTGAGGTATGGGATTGAAACAGGAGTTCTCAGTGTGGACCAGAACCATCACTGGGAGCTGCTGCAGAGCCCCATCCTGAACTTACTGAATCTGAAACTCTGGGAGTGGGGCCCAGAAGCCCCTATTTTTAACAAGGCCTCCAAGTGATTCTGGTGCACACTAAAATTTGAGAACCAAGGGGCCACCGAAGGATTTTCAAGTTGGAGCCAGGGCCTGGAATGGCTCTTCTGGCCAAGAGGGTGGAGCAGTGAGTGGCATGCTCTGGGGAGAGCTGGGCTGGAATTCTGTTCCCTTCCTGTCCCAGGTATACATGTACCAGCTCTTCCGGAGCTTGGCCTACATCCACTCCCAGGGCGTGTGTCACCGTGACATCAAACCCCAGAATCTGCTGGTGGACCCTGACACGGCTGTCCTCAAGCTCTGTGATTTTGGCAGGTAGGCCTGACCTGGGGTGTGTTGAGTGGCTGAAAGGGTGAGGAAGGACCCCAACCTTCGTCTGTGTTTACTCTTGCTCACCTCTTCCCACAGTGCAAAGCAGCTGGTCCGGGGGGAGCCCAATGTCTCCTACATCTGTTCTCGCTACTATCGTGCCCCCGAGCTGATCTTTGGAGCCACTGATTATACCTCATCTATTGGTCAGACTTACGGGAGGCTGGGGGTGGGGATGGCAGTCATGGCAGTTTTTGAGTTTTGTGTGTGTGTGCCAGGTTTGGCGATAAAAGCTTAATGTTTATTCTTTTATGCCGTCCTCACAAATTTAGGAGGGCGATATTGTCTTACGCTCCTTTACAGATGAGCAGTCTCAGGCTTAGAGCGGTGAGGCCACCTGCCCGCAGTCACACTGCTAGGACTGGGCAGGGCTGGGCTTTGAAAGCTGACCCAACTCCAGAGTCCATACTGACACCGGAACCTCCCAGTTAGCCGTCTCTTCTCATCCAGGGGGAGGGGCTGATGGTGACCTTTGGGGAATCTGAGGTGGGCCATGAGGGTATGACCTGCTCACAGGCCTCTGTATTCCTCCCAATTGGTGGGGATGACATTGCCACCTTCCAGGCATGAGGAGAGGGCATGAAGGGTTTGGAAGAGAACATTCATCAGCCGGTGTGAGGGAACTGCCTGGTCCTTAGGTGTGAATTTGTCATAGGGCTCAAGGTACAGACCAGGAAGGGGAAGAGTACAGTACAGTCAGGCAGACCTGTACAGTCAGGCAGACCTGGAGGTCAAAGTCAAGACTCCAGGGTTCCTAAACTGTATGATCTCAAGCAAGGTGGTTCCTCTCTGATCATAAGGGATGGAAGTGTTTGTGAGGGGTGGGCATGGTAACCCTGACCCTCTCCCATTCCCCCTTCAGATGTGTGGTCAGCTGGCTGCGTACTGGCCGAGCTCCTCCTGGGCCAGCCCATCTTCCCTGGGGACAGTGGGGTAGACCAGCTGGTGGAAATCATCAAGGTGAGGGCAGAGCCAGGTGGGCAGAGGTGGGGCTAAGTGATAGGGGTCTTGGCTCAGACCCCTCCTTTCCTACAGGTGCTGGGAACACCAACCCGGGAGCAGATCCGAGAGATGAACCCCAACTACACGGAGTTCAAGTTCCCCCAGATTAAAGCTCACCCTTGGACAAAGGTAGGGCAGGGCTAGGGGCTCAGATAGCATGGCTGAGGTCCCCATAGGAGGCCAAGTGGTCTGGGGATCTGGCATTGGAGAGGGTCAGTGACTTTCATTAGATTTCAGTTGATGGAATTTCCAGTAATCTGAAAGTTGAGGACCCACAGTAGATTCAAGAGCCCTACTTTTCTAGTGGGGAAACAGACTTACAGCAGAGCCCATGCAGTCATGGTGGGCTGCTCACCTGATACAAACTGAGCTTCCCTCAGTGGCGGTGTCTCAATTTCCTCATTTGGGAAGTAGGTTTGTGAGAGGTGGGCAGTCATATTTGCTGCAGGCATTGTGGCGGTGAGGTGCAGGAGCATGCAAGTATCCAGGGCCTCACCCTTGTGACTTCTGTCTCTCTCCTTCTCTCCAGGTGTTCAAATCTCGAACGCCACCCGAGGCCATAGCGCTCTGCTCTAGCCTGCTGGAGTACACACCGTCCTCGAGGCTCTCCCCATTGGAAGCCTGTGCCCACAGCTTCTTTGATGAACTGCGATGTCACGGAATCCAGCTCCCTAACAACCGCTCGCTTCCCCCCCTCTTCAATTTCAGTCCTGGTGGTGAGGGCACAGCCTGGGGTCTGGGGAACTGGAGGGGCAGCCAGTAATTGTGGAGAAGAGCTTGGTGTTGAAGACAGGAGTGGGGAGTTGAGGGTGGGTGACAAGGCAGGCCTGGGGCATGGGAGAGGCCCCCATGGTTCAAGGAAACCCAAACCTGATTCACCCGTGCCCTATGATCTGTGCTAGGCTCTTTACAGTTTTTCCTATTAAGTACTCGATGGCTACATGTGTCTGCAAACACTGGCCTTGCCAAGAGCTGGGTTCCCCATTCAGTGCCCTTTTCTAACTCCAATTGGGTCTGCAGATGTCCTGCCCTCTGACCAGGCATGTCCATTCCTGTCTCTAGAACTCTCCATCCAACCATCTCTCAACGCCATTCTCATCCCTCCTCACTTGAGGTCCCCGGCGGGCACTGCCACCCTCACCCCAACCTCACAAGGTAAGTCAGGGTAGAGCAGCATTTTTCAGCTGGGGGGAAAGGGACTGTTTTCACAGCCTCTCAGTTTCCTGTAAAAATTACAGCTTGATGGTATAGAAAGCATATTTTACAACATGTGAATGGCCACTTGTGTTGGGTATTATTGCCTATGTTTGTGTTGAAATGCTAACTAGAAAGCCAAAGACATGTTTGGGCTATACAAACAAACAGTTGAATTTGTTGCGCACATTAACAAATTGGGGCCCTGACTGGTTTGGCTCAGTCAGTAGATAGAGCGTTGGCCTGCGGACTGAAGGGTCCCAGGTTCGATTCCGGTCAAGGGCATGTACCTTGGTTGTGGGCACATCCCCAGTAGGTGTGTAGGAGGCAGCTGATCGATGTTTCTCTCTCATCGATGTTTCTAGCTCTCTATCCCTCTCCCTTCCTCTCTGGAAAAAAAAAAATCAATAAAATATATTAAAAAAAAGTTGGGGCCATTTCATTTACAAGTCCAGGTTTCCTGTTTCTCCTGGGGAAGAAAATCAGACGGGACAGCAGTGGGCCTGCCTTTCCTCAGGCCCTTTGGCATTTGAGTTTGCAACCATGGATCTAAAGTGACAGCTTTCAATTTCAAATGTAGCATCTTACATGGACTTCCTGCTTGTGGAGGTTTTTTTTTTTGGGGGGTGGGGGGTGGGGTGGGTGTTTGAAAGGCAAAAGCTAACTGGTCTGCTTCTTTCTCCTTTTCAGGTTTAAGTGAGGCTCAGACCGGCTCAGAATGGCAGTCAGCCGAAGCCACAGCTCCCCTCACTAACTCCTCCTGAGGGCCCTGCCAACTACCCTTCCATCTGGGAGCCCCAGGTGGGGCTGGGAAAGGGGGGCCATAGCTCCTGCCCTGGCTGGGCCCCTAGACTAGAGGGCAGAGGTAAATGAGTCCCTGTTCCCTCTTCCTGTTCCTTCCTCACCAGCCTCACCCCTATGGTGGGCTTTTTAAGAGGATTTCAACTGGTTGTGGGGAGGGAAGAGAAGGAAGGATGGATGGGGTTGGGGGCATGAGGACCTCCTATCCCTTGGCCCCCTTCCCTCCCCCCAGACCGCCCTTCTCCAACCCACCCTCCCTTCCTGTGTCCCTTGTAAATAGAACCAGCCCAGCCCATCTCCTCTCCTCTTTCCTGGCCCCTGGGTGTAAATAGATTGTTATAATTTTTTTCTTAAAGAAAACGTCGATTCGCACCGTCCAACCTGGCTCCTCCCCCTCCTACAGCTGTGTTCCCCTCCTGTCCTCTGCCCTAAGGTCTCCTCCCTCCTCTCCCCACCCTGGAGGGCTGGGTTAGGGATGGTGGGGGGATCCTGATGTCTTAGTTTCCACAGTAAGGTTTGCCTGTGTACAGACCTCCGTTCAATAAATTATTGGCATGAAACCTGCTTCTGTCTAGCTGTCTTTTTCCAGAGGTGAGGGAGGTGTCTGGTGGGCTGTCCTGGGACAGGAGTGGGCTGTATCTCAGGTGGGGGACAGGGTAGGGTGAACCCAAACTGGGCCATCTGAGGCCTGAATCTGGATCCTGGCTGAGGGGCCCAACCTTCCTGTGTGAGGATGAACTGGTCTGGTTTATATGCTGCAGAGGCCTGGGAGGAGCCTGCCCCCTGGTCTCAGGTCGAACCATTTGCTTCTACCCAGGGAGGGAGAGCTGGGATCAGAGAGGTCATGGCCATAGACTAAGTGGCAGGGTCAAGACTTTAACAAAGCTCTGTCTCAGCCCCTGCTGCTTCAGAGTCTGGAGGACACAAAACTTAGCCTGATGTAAACTTAAAAAAAATCTTTTTGTTATGTTAATCTTCACCTGAGAATATTTTTCCATTTATTTTTAGAGAGTGGGAGGGAGGGGGAGAGAGAGAAACATTGATTGGTTGCCTCCCTCACATGCCCCAACTGGGGCTAGGGATCAAACCTGTGGTGCACAGGCTGATGCTCTAACCACTGACCCACACAGACCAGGGCCTGATGTAGACTCTTAGTGGGCATGCATGGGGGCAGAGGTGCTGTCCCCAAACCCTAGCAGATCCCCAAGCCTTCATTTCCAGGTCTCAAACAGGGCTCACACCTGTTGGGAAGTGACACTCTGGGGAAGGTTAAGGCAGAGAGCCTGGCCTTTATCCTCACTTAGAAAACATGCTGGGGCCAGACAGGAGGACCACGGGCAGAGGGAAATGGCACCTCCTCCACATGGTGTCAGCAGTAGGTGAGGGCAGAGGCTGCAGAGGAAGAAGGGAATCTGGGAGGAGCAACCAACATGTGCTCCACTGGTGAAGAGAGGTGTTAGAGAGGGAGTTCAAGGACGTCTGTAGTGTCTGCTAAAAAGCCCCACAGGCATCTGTATATTGCCCAATAAATCCCTGAGCCTCCCTGCTCAGAACCATTTGGGCATCACCTTTTTTGTATGATGAATACATACATAAAGCATGTGGACCAGAGGAGAGGAGGAGGGCTGGCCTGGGTGAGGGGACCTGTGGTCGGGCTGCTGGGGACGCCTTCCCTTACATCTGGTCAGCCATGAGGTCACCGTCCCTCACCCTCCTCCTATCCCCATGGTCTGTGCCCAGCTCTGGCCTGTTCTCTCCCTCCTGGACCATCTTTAATCTTCCCCATAGCCCCACCCTGACCCCAAGGAGCCCACCCCTTCTTGCACTGCTCCAATTTAGCCCAGCTTCAAGGCCTTCCCAGGTCTAGCCCTCCCAGACAACCCTGCTTCACTCTGCCCCATTCCCTGACCTGCCATATATCATGTTTAGAGAGGGAAGAATTGTCACCTCAAGGAACCTTTGAAAACACTGGGGATCCCTTCCTGCTCCCAAGGCCTTTGATCTTTTGAAAGACTCCCCCCCCCCCGCCCCCCCAAACCCCAACTGCTCTGTGACACTGGCTCACCTTTCCTCCTGTTATAATGAATCCTCCTCTGAGCCCCCAGCTCCTGCAAGGGTTTCAGGTCGCAATCACTCAATAGCACTGGTTATGGACATGGGCTGAAGGGCCCCATCTAAGTGCACGTCTCAGCAATGCCTTTGCCTAGCTGTGAGACCTTGGGCAAGTCTCTGCCCATTTTCTTTTCTTTCTTT